GTGATGAGAATTTTTTTGAAAACACCTGGACCCAGAACGGCCCGTTCTGAAACCGGAACGGGCCGTTTTGGGTGCACTTTTGGTGTGTTAATTTTGCATCCGGAACGACCCGTTCCATGTGCAAAATTAACACACCGAAAATGCAACCAGAACGGCCCGTTCCGATTTCAGAACGGGCCGTTCCGGTTTTATTTTAATTAATGAGGGACTATATTAGGCCTAACATTTGGATTTGTCAGGTTGTTCAAGTTGGTCAAGTCGGATTAGGCGGGTCGATTTAATCAGATTGGGCTATATTGGGCTAACATTTTTATTTATTATTTTTTCAAAATCTAAACAACTATTTAATTAACTTGGGTTGGATCTACAGTTTTATGAGACTTTTTTTAAGGGATTATAGGCCTTTTAATTCCTATGTCTTAATCCATTTGGGTATAAATATTTTAATTTTGAGACTAACTATCGCATTTTTTGAGATGTCTTCAATGTAGTGAGGAAATTAGTCACTATTATCGGTAAAAAAATATATTTTAATTTAAACACAATAAAAAAAACCATTCCAAACCAAAGCAACAAACCCAAAACTCCGAAAAGTCAAGATTAATTGTTTGAAATAAAAAAAATGCATGCAATTACGTTTGATTTCAGTCGAATCAAAAAATTTTGATCAAACCTAGTTAAAACTATTAAGTTTTTTTTTGTTGAGAATTTAACATTACTCTAACTATATATCTACCATTTAAATTTGTTAAGTAAAAATAATTTTGTCTTAGTTGTTCTACATATTCAATAATATTTTTTTATCTCATTTATAATTTCCTTATTTTTTATAGCTATTTTATATTTTTCATCATATCATAACTTTCTCTTTTTATTATCTCTCGTCTATATTCATTATGCACTCAAATCCATGGGTTTCGAGAGACAAGTACTCATCCCCAAATGGATAGGCTAAAATAAAGAGGAGAAAATGACACCTGTCCCCACCCTTTTCTTTTCAGCAAATAGGGAAAAAGAAGAAAGAAAATGACAAATACAATAACTAATGTAACGGAAAAATAAAGAAAGAAACAGGTAGAAAAAAAACAGGAATAGGATCAAAGGGAAACTAGTGGATTAAAATTTGCTTAATTTTTTTCTAAATGACATGACCCTACATTAATTTTAATGTTTAGGGTTTAGATCGAATTTGATTTGATGTTTAATTCAAAATAACATCATAGTTACTTTTGAATTCTCGTATTGAAAAGTGAGAAATGATGGTTACATTAAGAAAGACGTGTAGCCAAACATGTGATATAAAGTTGAAAAAGAAAGAATGAGAGAACTTACTGCAAGTCCAACAGCTCCTAAACCAAAAATAGCTACAAATGAACCAGCATGCACATTAGCTGTATTCCAAGCTGCTCCAACTCCTGCATTTAATTCCACAACAACACAGCACAACACATTAATTGCATCACAACATGTAACATGTAACATGTAACATAACCCACACGTTATCACAATTCAATTCAACCCATCCACGTAACAAAATCATTTAACAACACTTATTCTTTCCATCTCCACCCATGATAATAATAACAAGCTCATTTTCTGAATGATTTGTCATTGCCCCCTTTTTTTTTCTCAGCAATGAAGTGCCACACACCGGCGGTTTATGAATTGTGATAGTTCCAGAAAAGCAGAAAGCGACTTGTCCAATTAGGGTAAAGTCAGAAACGCAACAACACAGCACAATAGATATTTATTTTCCTTCTAAATAATTCCAAATTTTCAACTCAAGTGTTATTGTCTGACTTGAAAACCAAATTCCTATAACACTAATTCCACAATGAAATGGTCAAGTTTCTTTGCCTTGAAGATTTCTCACATATATCAAAACAACACATTTTTTAAGGTTAAGGTTATCTTCTATGATTTAAAAAATATAAGGACCTATTAAAAATATTAATAAAAATGGGTTTTGGAATTGAAATAAAATTAGAAAATTCAGAGTCAACGAGCAGATGAGGAAAGCAGTGATCATAATTGACAAAGGTGTAGATGTTTAAAATTGAAAAATGAATGCACAAAGTCATGTATTTTGTTCTATTTTATTTTTTCTCTTTTGGTTTTATAAATAACTTATTCAATAAATATCTTTTTAACTTATTGTATGAACGAGGTAGTCACGTATGAGATTCTTAATAGATGAGACAATCAAACACTTTATATAAGATCTGCACAAATGTCTCATGGAACTGGATTATGGATTGTTGATAGATGAAGTAATACTCCGAACTCTGGAAAATCATGGAAATGAACTTTGAAAAATTATGGAATTAAAAATTTTCTTCATCTTTATAAATTTTCTTCATTATTTTATGTATATTTTTCTTTATTTAGAAGAGTTTTAGAATTACTTTTTGAAACTCTATTTTTAGAATTATTTAAGTTGTGCTTAAGAATCTTCATATTTTTCTTTATATATTTTAAATTGCAGAAAACAAAAATATTTTGAATATCATTGCCTTTCTATTGTAATTGTTGGTAATATTCATTCTTTCTCATATTTTATTTGTAATTTCACTCTTATTTCTCCATAATTTAGATACCTAATTGTGGTGTGAATATCATGAATTACAATGCATTCAGTTGATAGGTTTGTGATCAACTAAAGTGGTCTATGTTGCTATATTCAATTAATACCTCTTATTTTTCTTCATTTCAATTATAAATCTTATTTTATCTTTTAGTCTTTTCTCTAATATCTATTGTCATTTTTTTCTATTTTAAATTCTTTTAAAGATTCTTTTTCTTCATTGAGTAAGAAATGTACAGTGCTAAATAGAACAGATGAAAATTGCAAAATGTCATGAAAAAGAATTATAAAAATAAAATGTAAAATTATTAATAAATAAATTAAATTATTTATTTTCCATTATTTACTAAATTAAATTATTGTAATTAATATCTCTTAATTTCAAACTAATCATCAATAATATTTTCTAATTATTACATTTCATTATGACGTAACTGTGTAAATTAATTGATGTTAATTAGATATAAATTACAAACTTTAATGTTAAAATAATTATTAAATTTTAAAGTATTAGTTACTCAAAACAAATTCTAATACAATTACTATCATTCATTAAAAATTATTTGTCGAATATTTTTTTAATTAAATATTTATTACAAACTTTAATTTTGTTATCGTCAACCTTAATGTATGATACATATACATATAATTAAATTAATTTAAATTACGTGCTATTTTTGTTGTCAAAGGAAAATAAATTAGTTGCTATTTTAAAATAAATTTTAATTTAATAATACAACACCTCAATCATTAGATACATACACAATGACTATTTATTTTAATTGCACATCATTATCATATTAATACCAAAATCATTATTGAATCATTTGGTAAATCAACTCATGTTAAAAAAATATGTTTTTTTATTTATTGTTTTGCAAATCGAACTTCATGATTCTAATAAACATAGAACTTAATCATATTTATTGAGTTAATTTTCTAATAATTGACATATAAAAAATAATCTCTTCATCACAAATTAATTATCAATATATTTATAAAAAAAAACCTACAAATTAATTATTAATATATAACTGCTAATTTTTAAATTTTTAAATTATTAGTTACTGGTGACAAATTTTAACAACAGTATTACATATAAATTAAAATTTATAAATATTCTAATATTTTAGTCTGTACAGTGTACAGACTAAATATCTATTATATATTACTAAAATTTATAATAAATTATATATATACAAACAAATTTTAGTTTAAATATATAAATTATATTTAAAATTTATATAAATAAATATTTTAAATTATAATTTAGGTATATCATAAATAATTTATGTTGTAGCATAATATTATTTTATTTATTGATAACTTATTTTAAAAATATTAAAATTTAATTTTAAAATGATTATAATAAATAAAAATCAAATGAGATAAGAAATTAAAAAAATTCCTCAAAACCTTCTCATCAAAAAAATCATCCTAAAAATGTTGTCGTATAAGATTTCAGTCCATGTTTAATATATAAGAGTTGATAAACATTTGTTTGAATATATAAATCATATTTAAAATTTGTATATACAAATAATTTTAAAAATTTATGATAAATAATTTATATTTTAGTATTTTTATTTATTGATAAGGTCAGGGACGGGCCCATGCAGAAGAGAGTGGGGGCACATGCCCCCATTACCATTTGACACATACATATCTTTTTTATATAAAAAATAATATATTTTTAAAAATAAAATTTATTTTATAACAAAATAAATATATATATTTAAATCATCATATGTATAAAATATAAATTTAAAAGATTTGTTCATTTATTTGATATTTATCAAACTTTCGAAAAAGATTAGTTCTTATATGTGATAAAGAATATTCCTTAACAACGAATTAATTTTTTTAAAAAATTTAATTTTTGATAAAATAAAATTTGTAGCATATATATTTACTTTTTGTGCTTTTTATTTATGTATACATTGATTAAAAAAATCAAAATAGTAAAGATTGTAAGATTGTATACTTTGATTAAAAAAATCAAAATAGGAAAGATTTTGGAAGATTTATATTCTATTTAGAATTTTTATTATAAAATATATTTTGAAATAAATTATCATCTAAAATATTATATTAGATATTAAAAATATGTTTATATTATAAATAAATTAAACTTGATTTTTATACAATTTAACAAATTTATTTTTATTAGTATTAAATTATTATAAAGTATATTTTTAGGATTGTAGTTCTAACCAAATATTTAAAAAATATCTATGATAGATATAAATAAGTCAGTCTAATAGATAAATAAGTCATATAATTATACTTTTAAAAATCACATGTAAAATTTTTAGTACTATAAATATATAAATAATTATTACCCTCACTATCTAAAATTTATGGATTCATCACTGGATAAGGTATTTTAAAAATATCAAAATTTAATCAATATTATATATTAAACACAAATCTCTTGAAATATTGGAGGATTAGTTTGTGTCTTTCCCTGCGTGAAGAGAATCAATGTATTTGATTTTAATAAAAATGATGTTGTGCTACAATATAAATTATTTATCATAATTCTAAAATATAATTTATATATTTACACATATTTTTTATATAAATTTTAAATATAATTTATATATTTAAATATATTATTTATTTGTATATATAATTTATTATAAATTTTAGTAATATATAATAAATATTTAATTTGTGAATTGCACAAACTAAAATATTAGTTATAAAATAATTATTCATTATTAAATAAAAGATTCAGACTATAAGAGAATAATTTCATTTTGATGTGTATGGTCTTCTTGGAAGATAGATAAAAAGAGACAATATTGAGAAATTTTTTAATTTTAAGTTAATAGAAAAGAAAAAAGAAAATTTCCTTCAAAGTTAATATTTTTCCTTTTTTATCCTTTCTAATTTAATGAAAAATATGTTTATTTATATTCTTTTTAATCTGTATAAAAAATCACAACAATAACCATAAAGATTAAACTTTGAATTTAAAATCATATGCATCTATCTTAGATATCTACCAATAAGCCAATTCTAGTGCTTTATTTTATTTCCTTCTATGAAAAATTACAAGAAAGAGGTGGGAGGAAGAAAAAAGAAAAAAGAAAGTAACAAATGTGATAAATAATATTTTTAAAAAGAAAGTAAAAAAGAAAAATTAAAAAAAAATGTATACTATCTGTAATTATTTTTAATTACAAGATTCAATTAATTAATTCATCATGATTAAGCATTAATTAATTTAATTAAGTATTAAATTTATGTTTTCTTTTCAAAATTATCCTTAAAATTAATGGGATACATTCTTACTCTTTATTCAAATATGTAATTATTTTGATCACGTCTTGATTGTATCTCACCTATTATTAATTGAATATATAGAGAAGAAGAAAAAACTAATTATGTGCATATCTTTATCAGTCAAACATATTAACCAATTATTTATTAAAATATTAACCAAATCAAACTTGTAATTTGACTTTTATAAAATAGAACTGGATGCAGTAAACAAAGATAATTTCTGAAACTGATCTATTAGTTCCAAAAGCATAATGATGCGTAAAATGAATTTGACAAAATATTTGTACCATCTAGTTAGTCAAAAGGTTCAAAGTATGTGGGCTATGCATGACTATGACTGACCTGTGGAGACACCACAACTGAGTAAGGTAAGATTTTTGAGGCTGAGACTATGACCATGGTCAAGCTTCACCACGCAGGCTGAATCCAACACTGTGTACTCTGAGAAAGTTGAAGTGTTCAAGAAATGGAAGATGGGTTTGCCATCAATGGTTGAGAACCTGCACGTGCCATCTCCTTCCATCACCTTCTTCATGGGGTTCACCCCAAACCTCTCACACATGTTGCTCTTCTCACACTTGCAATAGACACACTCTCCACACTCCCCATTGAATATTGCCACCACAATGTCCCCTTCCTTCACTTCACTCACACCTTCTCCTACACTCTCCACAATCCTACAAATCCATTCAATCAAATCAAATTTATTACAATCTGTTTTAATATAAATGTGTAGCTAGTAGTATCAATTCATGCCCTACCCGGATGCTTCATGGCCAAAAATCCGAGGGAAAGCTCGCTGAGACTCATTCTTTGGTTGATCATCGCAATCACATGGGAAAAGAAAAAACAAAACATCATGAGACAGCTTATAATTTGGTTTGGATCCTAAGGGATCATATGTTACATGTAGAGATAAAACTTTGATTTTAGTTTTACAAAGTGTTGTATCTAAGTTATACCTGGCCTTGCCAAACGGTAAGATCAGTGTGACAAATGGAAGTGTACAAGATCTTAATTCGGACTTCCATTTTCTGAGGAGGATGAACAAGAATGTTTTCCACCACGAAGGGCTCTCCGGGACCATATGCCACAGCAGCTATTAATGTATAACAGTATACAACCATATTCAATTAGATTTCTTCCATGAATATGATGATGGAAATTAAATTAATATTAAGATGAAGCTAATAAGATAGAAAGGGGTTTGTATGATATATATTAGCATCAAGTAATATATTCAATTAATGTGAGATATATGTATAGTACTTGTGTTGTGAGTTTATGCGAATTTACCTTTGCAAGTGATGGTCTTGCCTTTTGTCTCACTTGGCTTCTTCAAGCTCAATGAACCGTTCCCATTTGCCACTTGTGGAGATGCCATGTTCCTCTAACTTTTTTTTTCTGTGTTTTTCTTTCTTTCTTTTCGTTTTTATGGAAGAGGATCGTGGCTTCCAAGGAGATGAAAAACAAATTTATGGGTGATGAGGACAAAGGGTCCCTCACGACAAGGCAATTTATGGGGACTGCACATCTGTTTGATTTTAATTAGATATGTTGGTACATGAAAAAATATATTTTACGCAACATACAGGGAGAAAAGAAATTGATAAGTAAAATGACATATGTGATGATATTCAAATGTCCAAAATACTTATAAAAGGATTCGGAAATTTTAGATGATAGATGCAACATTTATTTATATATTTATGGTATTAAAAATTTTTCATATAATTTTTTAAAATATAAATATATATTATAATTATTTTTTTATATATTATATTATATATGTGAACATTAATAATCTTTAAAAAATTAATTTGTTAATTATTAAGAAGTATTTTTTATTATATATGAGAATTAATCTCTTTCGAAAATTTGACAAATATCAAATAAATAAACATTTTTTTTGAATTTATATTTTATATATATGATAATTTAAATATATATATATATTAGAATATAACTTTTATTTTTTAAAATATATTATTTTTTGGATACAAAATTATGTATGTATAAAATGGTAATGAGTTTGTTCCATGTAAATCTACCAAATTCAAAGTATCTCTTAATATTCTGTTTTTTTTTTAATTAATTAATTTTGATATTAAATATGTAACTTATGTTTTAAGATTTATTTTCATATTTTTGGAATAGAATCATATCAATATTTGTTACATTTAATACAATGTTAAAAAATATAAATACAAAATAATCATAATAATTGCTACATTTAATATTTTTAACATTTTTCTATTCACATTTATTAAAATGCTACTAGAGATTAAGTTAATAAGTTATTGTAACAATTTTTTTAGAGCATTTCTAATAGGAGCAATTTTTTAGAGTTGCTTAGTGCATGAATTTATGTATCTGGTGACTGGTGGTCCCTACTGTGTCACATCAGTATTAAGCAATTTTATTCTATTTTTACTCCAACAGTCTTCAAGTAATTATAAGGAATTCAATATTTTATAATTTTTTAATATTGAACTTCAATAAAATTAAGGTACATTTAAATTAATTTTTTTTAATTATTTCTTCTTTTTCTTTCTTTTTTCGTTTTCTTCTTCTTCCATGCCTAGCTTTCTCTTTCTTTTTATTTTTCTTCATCATATTCTTCTTTCTTCCTTCTTCTCTCTTCTTCTTTCTTTTTCATTCTTCTTCTTTCCAAGCCTCCGCCTCCACTACCACCGCGTGAAGGAGGTTGGGCCTCTATCGTCACTGTGCATCTGCTACCATCGCGCCTCCGCTGCCATCGCACCTCCACCGCCATCGCGCCTTTACGCCGCCCCGCCTCCACCGTCGTCGGGTCTCTTCTCTTCCCTCTACCCCTTCTCTTCTCTTTCACTTTCCCTCTTTTTTCAGTTAAAAATTAATTGTATTTTATTTTAGCAACAATTGCTTATACATGTAACCCAAACAAAAATTTAAGCAACACTCATGCCATGTTGGATTCCTCCAATTTTAAATTTTTTGAAGGATCTATTGTTTGGATTAAGTAACTCTCCAAACAATAGCCATTGAAGATGCTCTTAGTAATGTTATTTTAGATAAAGTAATATTTTTTATCTTAATATTAATATTTTTAATTATTTTTTAAAATTAAGTCTCACATCAAACAAAAAATAATATATAAAGAATATACTTCTCAAATATTTAATTATTTTCTAAAATTAAAGTCTCATAAATAAAATGAATGACACAAAAAGTATATATAACTATGGAGTGAAATTTAAAATAAATAAACTTTAATATGTGATTTAGATCTAGTAGTTACTAACATAGGATATCTTCAACTTTAAAGGACATATAGACAAGAGTCATGAAATATAAGTGATCATACAATTTATATTAATAATAGTTATCATTATACAAAGTTTACAAAAACTTAACATTATAAAAATGTTGCAAAATATTATTGGTAACATTTTTTAAAATGTCATCATTAATGTGTAAAAATATTGTTAAAAATATTTAGTAATATCCTAGTAATACTTACTCGTAATTTAATATTTTTTTAATATTGCTAAAAAAATATTTTATTGTTGTAAATTGACACTCTATATTTATCTATTCTTTTTATTTTTATCGCATAATATATATATATATATATATGTGTGTGTGTGTGTGTGTGTGTGTGCTCGCGCGCTTTAAAATGTAGATTAACGAATGAGATGTTCAAAAAAAAATTGATGTGACAAGAAGAAAAAAAATATTAATAAGATGTTTAAAAATATTAGATTTTATTTATTTATTAGAATTGATCGAAAGTTTGTGATAATTTATGTAGTTTACTATATCAATTGAATTATAGAATTGATAAATATTAGTTGTCTAAAAATAATTAATTTTAGTAAAATTATTTTTAAAAAAGCTGACCAAGTAAATAAATAGTACAAGTTGAATTTGACGGGAGAAAGTGAAAGGTAGTGGATTTGAGGGGAATGATAAAAATAAATACTTGTTTGGTAAAGGGGAAAGAATGGAATTTGAGTGAAATTTATTAGGATTGACTTGATTAGTAATTATTTTAAAAAAAATGAAAGAATTTGAATGAAATTTTGTTTAAACATTAATGTTTCTCTCTCTTATTCAACTACATGTAACTATTTACTTATTTTTACTCTCATTGTGGTAAATATGTAATGTTATATTTAATTATCGTAACTCATATTTAAAATATGAAAGAAATCATATTTAATACAAGGCTATATTCTATTATGGGTATTTCGTATTCAAATATGTTGTGTATGAGCATTATATTCTATTATCTACATAAAAAAAAAAAGGTACATTAATAAATCAAAGATTAAAATTGATAAAATTATATACCAGATCAATACTATAATTTAAAATATCAAATTAATGTTTATAAATCACTTATCTCTTGTAAATATCTTTGTAAAAAATTGGTTATTACAATATTGGTTGTGTACTCACTTGTATACGTTAATAACAATTCTTCCACTAAACTCTTCTCTACCACCACTGTCCCTTGAATGGAACAAAAATGACAGTTTTAAAATTTATAGGAATCTAGTGAGATCATGTTTTTTTAAATTTTTGAAACCCTAACTTAATATCCATCCATCACAAATATTAAATCATTTAGACATTGTATAAAAAACTTAATACACTTGCCTATTAAGCTTGACTTAATAATTAAATATTAACTATACTTACATGGTGATTCCCAAATTAAAAATAAATCACATAATAAAATGAGTTTATAGAGAAATATATATGTCAAATAACATTAAACTTATTTTCATAAAACAAATGACATCAATTAATAATAGTCCAAATAAATAAAATTTTTAATAAAAATGATAATTTTATATATTATTTATTTTTACATAAAATTCTAACTTAATAAAATCCAATTTTAAAATATCAATATACTTCTAATTTTTTTTCCATAATTTCACTTGATTAATCATTTATAAATTTCATTTTATTTTACTCTATTTTTTTAAAATTAATTCTAACTTATTTCTCTCTATTTCCTGTTATCTCTTTTCCTTTACCAAGTAGGCGATAAATGAAAAAAAAAATTGTATCTAAATAAGGTCAATTAAATTACGGGACAGGGACCGGCCTACATGGTCCTTCCTCTACTAGCCTTGGCCTCCTCCTCTAACATTTACTTAATTAATTTTGTATATGTATTTAAAATATTTTAATATTAAAATAAATATAATTAAATATTATTTATTTTTACAAAATATTATTTTTATTCTTTTTATAGACATAATAATATTTTCTTTTGAAAAACTATTTAAGTATTATTTTTAATGATTTTTTATTTTATATTTTGTTATTGTTATTTTAAAAGTTATATATATATATATATATATATATATTTATTGTATTTAAAAATTATTCTCTTTACATTGATTTGATAAATACAGGACATTTATAAATATTTTTCTATGACGCAAATTTATGAACTCTGTAAAAGATTGACAATTTATATATTTACAAACAAATATTCTTTGTTTTTATTATTGTTGTTCTCATATTCTCTTTATTCTGTTTTCTTTTTAATAATTGTTTGTAAGGTTTTGCCGTCGAATGTATAAATTCAAACAAGCCAAGTGTATATATCTTGGAAAAGCAGTTTTTTTTTTTCATCGACAACTATAGCGTAAAGATAATTTAATATATAACAAAATTTATTCTAATTTAATATATATTTTTTTTAGTACATAATCAATTGAACTTTTTGTGTAGAATATAATTATTACACATATCAAATTTTATCATGAAAGTTTATAGTGACATTGAAAATTAATGATTGACAATATAATATTCAGTGTTTAAAAAATATGTTTAATTTATTTTATGTAAATATATTTTTATTATATTATTGTATTTTTTTAAAATACAAAATTATAATATTTTATATAAAATTGAATGTTTACGTATAAATTAGATCAATTATAATTTTTAAATTTGTGCCGTCTCTCATTCCCTTCATCCTTATTACCGTATATTGATAGGTCCATTGCATTTCATTCTCATGTATTGCAATATGTTATTGTCTTTGTTGACTTTTTATTCATGAGGTGTAATTTTTAAAAATGAATATTTTTTCTTTTAAATTTCTCAATTTGAGAAAAGTTGTTTTTTGTGAAACACAACTATTTGAGTAAAAGTCGTGTTTCACAACCACGACCCTACTTTTTTCTTAGAAAAATCAATTAAATAAAAATAAAGTTTTGTTTTAAAATATAAAAGTTATGACCATAGGAATAATTTAGTGATTGAAAAGATGAGATTTGAATAATTAGAAATAAGTGAATATAAGTTCCATCCTTCGTGTTTTTTGTAATTTTTTTTCATTCTCTATAATAAAAAAGAAGAAGTTATGTATAAAAAATATTATTTTATCATAAAAAAAAAAGGAAAAGTAAAGGAAAGTGACAGGTGTCAATTTGATTCACAACTTATCATTTTGAAAAGAAAAAAAAAATCGAGTTTAATGTTCACC